CAATTGCAGTGGCAGCGTAACTGAAAATCAGTGAATGCAAGTAACTATATTTAATGGTATTCTGTATTTTAACGTTTCATAATTTCAGACAGTGTGAGAGGAGTACTTCTATTCTTTTAATATAATGTATTGAATTTCAGACTTTGCCTGAAAATGTTTCGGGTTACTATACTGACACTGAATTCTGTTATTCTATTTTAATATTTTATTAGAATTGGGAGTGACTATTTTAATCTATAATTCAATTAAAAGGACACTTTTTGAGGTCTTCTGGTAATTTTGTGTGGAGGTATGGCACTATCTGAAGAGTATACGTGAGTGTAGGTTATAGTTTTTAATAGTTTGATTTTTAGACTAATACAATGAAAATGTTACCAGTTTTTACTTTAAATTTCATTTTATGAGATAGGACTATGTAAATAGATTTTGTATGGTAAAAATCAGATGTTTGTTTGTTTAAAAGCACAATACACATAATATTTAAATAATTTATGACAAGTGTAGTTTGACAAGTAACTGGTCATTAAGACAGAGGCGTTTTGAACAGGGTCATTTTCACTGGAGATCGGGGAAGCTGCCTTCAGAGCAGTTCGTTATCTGTGCAGCCTGAGATTCATTAGCTAATACAGATGGGATAACCCCTGTGCTGCAGAACCAGGAGAGCTCAGCCCAGCAAGCCTTTCAGCAACAAAGAAATAAAAGCATTCCTCTGTAACAGGCTTCAGCACTTATCTCTGTTCTCTGGTACTGTTTGTGCTGAACCAAAGCAGCTGCTACCCTGAGTTAAGAGAGAACAAACTCAACATGGCGTGAAATTACTGCACTTCCATTCACATTCATTAGAGTTATATTGTTACCAGCTACAAGCATGACTGGTCTTTGCATGAATAATAACCAGAAATGCTGCTTTCTGAGTTTTACCTTGAAACATTAACAAGATACAGTGCAAACTTTGAAACCATGTGTATTATTGGTCCAGCTAATAATATACATTATATCATTTTTCTTGTCAATTGCTGGAATAATATTTATACTTACAAGATCTGGGAAAAGGCAGATAGGAAGTTTCTAAGTGGAAATACGGTTAAAAGGTGGCTATTAAAAATAACTCCAAAAGGTCTTGAGTGTAGGTTCCCAAAGCTGTGTTGCTGCTACTAAAACATGCAACCTCTGAGATGTTTGTCGTGGGGAAGGAGAACTAGTATCCAAATCCTCAAGTACCAAACAGATGATTACCCCTTGCTCAATTAGAAATAAACCAGCAAGCAAGTGGAAACTTGCTTTGGTATTTATTCCTCTTCCAGCAGATCAGTTTCATCCTATCTACTGACAGGTTAAATTTCAGAAACAACTCTGTCACCTGCCTTAAATTCAGTGTCCTTTGTTTTTTGGTGCTGCTGCAACAGTGAGACCTGAACATGGTGAAAAATCCGCTGTGTGCGTAGTCGTAGTGGACCTGCTTTTTATCTCTGTGCACTCAAATCCATGGTGCATTTTGTCTAAAAAGCCTTCAGGACATTAATAATAAGGAAACATCTGAATCGCAGCGAGGACTTCAATATGTGCTTTGTCAATCCAGCAGTGTAGAATTTTGTGCAACAGGTTTTGTTATGGTCTTTTAGTTCTTACTAGTACTTGAGCCCGAAACTGAAGGCAAACTATTCTTACTCTTTTTTTAAATAATGCTGGTTTTATCGATTGATTAATTGCATGTTGTTCAAGCACTTTTTCAATTTCTTGTATCTGTTTCATGTAGATAGTGAATTGTATTGCACATCTGACCTGTTTATGAAATGTAATATGTCAAAAATACCTAATATTTCAAAGCTGATTCTGATATGTTGAGTTATTTCCTTATTAATGTTTACAAAATAGGTTATTCTTCTATGACTAATCGGAATGGTGTCTTTCTGTTGTGATAGTACCCAAATTCAGAAGCTGATTGCTATAGATACAGCCTAAATATACAAATAGGAGCTCAAAAAGCTTGTGAAGCTTACAGTCTCCAGAACAAGAGGAAGAGTGTTTAACACAACTACAAGCCATCTCTAACTAGTTTTATGGAAATTGACTTCCTCTTGCTGTAAATAGTCAAGGTAATGCCCAAGTTTCACATGACAGATTTTTATCAGTCATGGAAGGTTGCATTGTCTGTCTTCAAAAATGTTGTTGTTTGTGACTTCTGGTTGTTTTAGGTGTGTCCATTTCAGGTTCTATTAAGCTTCTGTAATGTGAGGTAAAAAGCAAACAAAAAAAGCTGTTAAATCTATGAAGCTGCGGCTAATTTCTTCAACAAAGTAAACCTACAGAGAAATTGCCATTTTTTTTTATACTTTACGCTCTTTTTGTGTTGCACAACCCCTGGACATGATCAATGAAGACTTTTTAGTCTTTCTTTAGAGAAAGTTATATATGTCTACCACACTAATTTATTACAGATAATAGAAATGCTAGAAGTAGATGTGAACTCTTTCAAATAAGCTGTCTGGATCTTAAGCATTGTTTTATTCTGTCTTCAAACAAATTGAAACAATTTTAGAGAATTAATTTGTTTACAGTGTAAAATAGCAATTGTGTCTATCTAAAGAAAATTCTTTCATTGTAGTTACGTTTTTTAGATATGTTTCTAAGGAAAAATAGTGAAAAAACCCACATATTTAATTTCTGCACCTTGTTCAGAAAGAATTGTAGACTGTGCTCTAAATATGCTATAATATAGCATAAAAAATTATTTTTGAAGGTTTTAAATTGAATATTTTTCATAGCCAAGATAGCTACTTAACTCTTGTTTTAACTGTATTGTTGAACGTAACATAGCTGAGGAAGGTGCTTGTGGTCTGCCAAGGTATTAACAGTCATTTGTGAGGAATTGTCATGTTGCCAAAGGTCTCAGGTCTTGCATCTGTATGATACTTGAGTGTATCATCATTGCGATCCACTAATGGAATTTCATCCATAGCTGTGGATATCCTCTTGATAGCAGTTGTGTGTGTGCAGTGGTCACCAATAGTGTCAAAACTCCAAAGGGAAAAATTAGTAATTCAGTAGCATATGTAGTGTAATCAGGGAGGATTTTTGTGAACAAAATTTTACAACTTTGTTTTTGTAGCAAGAATATATCTATTTAATTCCCAGGAATCAGCAGCTTTTAAGTTTTCTTTTACAGGTTAGAGGTTTGGTGGCTGTTTTTTTAAAGCTGGTAAAAACTTGGCGGGGGCCAGAAATGCTGTCTCATAAAGAGAGAAGAATACCACTAATTAGCTGATCAGTGGTGCTTGACCTTGTGAGCAATGGGAGCTCTCAGCTCATGCTGGGATCAAATTTATATGAAATTGTGAGCCACTGCCTGGTACTGGCCCTGCTGCGTGTCATTCAGAATCTGCCTCTGCTATAATCCTAAAGCTACAGGCCAGCCTGAAATGTTGCCTGCTCATGATGAATAGTACCTTGTTTTGCAAATAGACTCATTGAGGTTAACCATCATCTGTGAATGCAGTTACTATACAGTGTGAGGGAGGATATTTCAGTCTGGCCAGTGGTGAGTACTGAGTTGCATTAACAGTGGATTTTCTGTAACTCTTCCAGGTTTCATTCCCTTTCTTTCCAATTTAGGCTAAAGGCAAGAGGCAAAGGTCCTGGAGAAAATAGGAAACATTGTGAATTAGAAGAACTTTTCAGATTCTTTTCAGCTCTGTGTTTCCCACCATAGAAATAGTCTGGTATCAACTTTTCCCCCTCTGCCCCTTATTTAAAATATAAATACGCAGTGGCTATTAACTAGTGTTCTAGCCGAGTGTGGTGGGATAGTTCTCCTTTGACTCCCAACCACTAGTATCAGTGGCTACTTCTGACTTTTTGTATTGATTGAATTGTTTTGTATTTTGAAGAGATAAGGCAGATGTTTGATTACCCCATTCTAATTTTTTATTTAGATTCTTAAAACAGCATGGACCTGAGACAAAAGAAAAAGCCTTCTGTGTTGTTTGTGGGAGAGTCACATGATAGATAGAAAAGCCAGCAGCTTTTTAAGGACAAAGGTAGTCATCAGGATATATACCTGGATGTAGATTCTTATGTGGTTACAGCATAGTACTGAGAAGAAAGTTACTTTGGTCATCCCAATAAAAATATGCAGAAAAAAATGAAGGTTTCCTAACAACTGAAGATCTAGAAACCCTGTTTTGTAGTGAGGTTTGAGAAGCCTCACCTTAAAAACCATGATTGGGAATTGAGGCACCATAATCTCCTTGCTCTAGTTTTATGGTTCTCATTATAAAATTCTATTTTCAGAATCTAATTACTTTAAATTAAAATACTTGCCATGTGCAAAGCACCTTATAATTTCTGAACTACTATACTTGTATCCCATAAGCTCTATGGGAGAAAGATAGGTATCATGCCTGTTTTACAGTTGTGGAAACTTAGATACCGTGTGCTGTTGCTTCTCCACATGTAAAGTGATTTATTGATAGATCAAGTAATAGTCTTACGCTTGCCAATGTTCTGTCAGAATGGGATTATTAAATTTTTTGCCCTCTTAGGAGAGGAAGAAGAAAGCAGTTGACCTGACAAAATCAAATCTGTGTAACTGAGAAAATGTTTTACTCTTAATAAGGTCTTTTTTGGGAAGTGAAGATGATGTTTATCGTCACATCCACTCCTCAGCTAAAGGTGTTGATCTAACTTTGAGCTACAGTGTATGCCAGTGGCAGGCAGTATATGCACTGATGTACATGTGTCCAGCCACTTAGCAGCTATCAAGCTTGACCGGGTATATGTATATGTACGCTAATCAAAGAATGATCACACTACATTTAATACAGCCTTTATAGTAAAGTGCATAATGCCCTTTGCTTAATACTTTTTTCCCTAGAAGTGTCTTCATATTGTTTTGACTCACCGTCTAAGTTGAGAATGATAAGAACTCTAAAATATTCTTTTCTGATTTAGGAAAATTGTCTAACAGTAGTATGTGATGTTCTAAATCTTTTATTCTGTAGGTCAGTAACAGATCCACGAGATGGAAAGAGAGTTGCACTCAAAAAGATGCCCAACGTCTTCCAAAATTTGGTCTCTTGTAAAAGGGTCTTCCGGGAGTTGAAGATGTTGTGTTTTTTTAAGCATGACAATGTAAGTAAATTCAAAGTAATTTTGAAGTCTTTGATAAAGCCTAATTGTAAAATGGAGCTATCTATAACAGAAGTAAATTTTTTTATTTTAAGTTACACAATATCTAAAATACTTTAAAAGCTCTCTAATTTTACAGTTACCGGATTTCCTGGAAACTCAGATATTACTGTTGCAAACACTGTAAAAAATGAAATTATCAAGAACCTAAGTATATTCATAATTTCCTTTCCAAAATGTTTGCAAATAGACAGGCAATACACTTCCACCTAATCTTATTTTAGGCTTTAGATAAATGTCAATCTGCACAAAGCTATGCCAGCTGGAGATGCTTTCGCTTCCAAGCTATTTCTTACTCCATCTTCCTCTCCCCTTTGTTGGAGTTCATTGCTCTCTCAGTTCTTCTAGCAGGGTGGTTGTACAAGTGCTCCCAAATCTGCTTTAGGAAAAATCAGCTAGGTTAAGTTAAAACATTTTAAAAAATTATTTGAATTGACCCATACAGTTGTGTCTGAAGTGAATCAAAAAGTACTTACAGAAACTGCTCCACAAACACAACTGTGGATGTGGTAACCTCTCCCATTGATGACCAGTAGTGAGCACATTGGGAATACTATCTTCTCCTAGTGGAATGGGATCAGGAAGTGTGTATCTGTTTCAGAACCTTATTTCATTGCTTTTTCCTTCTGTTTTAAAGTTTACCTTTTTTTTATCTGAGGGTATCATATTCCAAGAAAGATTTTATTTGGGGTGAAGCACTGGATTTAGATAAGTGCTCTTGTTAGTGGGATGCAAAAGAGGTGGACAGCCTTGCAAGCTTGTACTAAATTGCAGAGTTCCCCCACCACGACTATCACCAATCCTTGGGAGATGGATTCTGCAACAAGATTTCTTTTGAACTGGTGCCTTAAACTGCTCCTCACCAGGGTCTTCATTATGGAAAAGATTTTATTGAGGACTATAAAATGAAATAAAAGCATCTCTGTAAGCAGTCAGAAGTTGAGCTTGATAATCACTGAAGTTTGTGTACTTCACCTAAATGTCATAGATATTCCTAGGACAGGATCTAAAAGACTACACCGAGGTAGTATTTTTTCCTGTGAGAGGATGTAACTTCTGTGCTGCTGCTTTTCTACCTTTTTGCTTTGCACAGAGAGCTGAGCTTCTGATTCAGAATGCGAACAACTTTGGGTTTTGTAATTCCCATGTAGAAGCAGTGTGTCAGAAAACTGTTAAAGATGAAAGGCAGAACAAAGTGTAATTTCTTTTGCTTTTGCATTTCTTTGCTAGAATTACTTCTTTCAAATATTTTATAGTTATATATATTTTTGAAATGAACCAATTTTTATTGGGTAGATAAATTTATGCTTTTAAGCTAGTACTTGAACAGCTGGAAAAAGTTTCTTGAATTAAAAAACAAACAAACAAAAAGACCCTGAACATACAGAATACCTGACTGGGTGGTCTACTAAATTCACATATCTAGTGAGATAGACTATTGGTCTGGCTGTATGTGACAGAATAAAGCTAAGCTCTATAAGAAAGGTGCAGTCTGTCTTTTTGAAAGGGATTTGTTTTTGTTTGACTGGGATAGGTCTTGATCTTGTGTGGTGTTTCCTAGGTACTCTCTGCCCTCGACATACTCCAGCCTCCACACATTGACTATTTTGAAGAAATGTATCCTAAATATAAAATAGAGCATCTTAATTGAGGTAGGTGTAATTTTCATTAGCTTAGAAACTGCAGGTAGTTGGTGGATTCTATGAAATAGAACTACAAAAACCTTGAGCCTGTATCTGAACAGTTTTATTTAAAGAAGTGAATCTATACTATGAAGAACTCTTAGCTAATGTTAATGTTGGAGGTGAAATGGTGCAGGATTGAACATGAAGCTTTGAGTATGTAAGAGCCAGTAAATGCAGGGCATTGTGGTATTTACCAACAGATACTGCTGCTACTAGTGGTGATTCCCCCAAAATATTTTTTTGAAAACTATATCCAGTAATTAACTTCCTCTCAGTTATTAGTATCTTAAAATACTTTCTGGTGTTTTCAGAGAGTGCTACTGTTACATGCTTTGAAACCATGACTTGTCAGAGATGTTTCAGCACACTAGTTGGGTTGTGGCTTTCCTTGTTCAGCCTCTATCTTGATCAAGAAAACAGATTTAACACAGATATATATATATGTACTGTTTAATGTGTAACTGATGCAAAGGTACATGCTGTCTATGGGTAACTGTATTATAAAATTGAATTTTAGTACATAACTTGATATGAGAATGTCATGTTATGTTTTGTTTTGTTTTTTTCCTTTTTCAAACTTTGGGTTATCTTCTATTTTGGGAGTTGTGAATTTCTGCATTTTTAAATACTGAAAAGTAAGTCATTGAGCTGGGTAGGCTCTTACTGACTCTAGTTGGACAAGAAGTTCTGTGACTTAAAGCTGGTTGTTTTAATGCTTACTGTAGTTTTTAAATTGCTAGAAATTACTCTACTACGATGAGTTAAATACAGATTTTCATGGTACAGAAAGTATCTAGATATGTTGCGAGATTTAGAACAAAAAATTATTTTAAATAGGGATAATTCTGTTCTCTGCAGAGAGTTTACTAGCTACAGACCAGGAATCGTAATAAAGATTGTCTGCCTGAGTTAATCTCACTGTCTGTTTTCTTCTTTATGCTATTTTAAAAATTTAACATGCTAAGATCCAATTCTTGAGTTTTTAGCTAATAAAAAATGAACTTGATAATTACCACTGAATGAGATTATTTGTTTATAAATTATTTTCTGTGTGTGTAGGTGTGTACTTCACCAGACTCCTCCTGCCCATAACAGTTTTAAGATTATTTACAGAGTTTTATGAACTGTTCAGATATTTTTACAACATGCTGTTAGGAACAAAATATCCTTTGTAGACTTTAGTAAAAGTGATATTTTAGAGAGCAGATAATCAAATATCCTAGCACATTGACATTTCCATTATCAAATTAGCATTTCAGTACAGGGATCTGCCATACAGCTGTGGTCAGCTAATAGACTTCTGTGTTTTCTGTGGAAAACCCCAAAAGCAAACACTGAAAATTAAAATCAGTGCTGAATTGTTGAAAGCGAACACTTGAATCAGAGCATATTCAATTATGTGTCATCTCATTATACTGCTGCTCGTTTTACAGCTTTGGTTGCAGTCTTTCAAGTTTATAATTCACAACCAAACTGTGCAAATAAAAACTTCCTCCCAAAACCGAAATTGTTACCAAAATCTCCTTGTAAATCAGGCAGGGCATAATGAAATGTCTGTTATAAGCTTATGTAAGATACCTGCCAATCAATTTTCATCTGAAAGTGTATGCATGTACATTCAGAAGCATATATAAAGTGTTCTGATTGATGATTTGGGTTTATTTTCTAAAATTACATAGTCTTTATACAATCATAATTGGGACCTGAGAGCTTTTTCTGCTACCTGGATGCATAGTAATAGTTAGGTTTAAAAAAAAATTAATGCACTGTCCCACAGATGTCCACATCATGTGTTCTGCTTATCTAACAAGTAGCTTTATTATGTTGGTGTCCATCTTCAGTGGAGCTGATTGAGGTTTGAGTGCACCAGCTTACTCTTATGGTTAGACTTTGGAAGGTTGTTAATTACTGATGGGTCTTAGCTGCTTTTTTTGTATGACCCACTTTACAAGACAATTAATGGGTGGAAAATTGTCATTCTTTATTTTTAGATAAACTGAACTTTGTGAAATATGTTTTGATCTATTTATAATACCTTGAATTGATTGGTGAAGAGAGTAGGTGTATTTTAAAGTTGGTGATTTTAACCAAACTACAGCATGATCTAGTGATTGATAAACAAATTCATTGGCTGAAAATATTGCTATACTATACTAGGGCTTTTTCATATGAATGTTAGATAAAGCTCTTAAATTTTGCTTTGATACTTCTTTCATGTGAACACCATATAAGTAGTCTTCAAAAACTGAATTTTGGTTATTTGCACTAGTTCAATGTCCTCATTTTATAACAAGTCATATGAGTTATAAATCAGATCTAGGTTAAGGATTACTCCTTCCGTGTAATTGTACAATCAAGAATATTTAAATGGGATAAGCTTATTTTTATGAGCTTAGCTACTGCCAAGTTTTGAATATAAACCCAGAAATGTTAGTTTCCTTCATGGTTAACTGATTTTAAGTCATTCTGACTACTTTTTTATAGGGCTGTCTTTTTTTTTAATTTGTTTGAATTTCTTGTCTCTAATATTGGTAATAGAAGACTATTTGCTTTGTGTAGTCTTCTTTCTCCTTTCTTTCGAAATAATTGCAGTAAGTGTACTTATGACCCTTAAATTCATTAGAAGAATGAATGAATAGGAGTTTCAATTTATATGCACAGTTTTAATTGCATGTGCTTCTGCTTACTGTAGTATAAGGAGAACTTATTTCAGATCTGTTTTAATAAGATCAGGTAACTATTTCATATTTCGGGGACGTAGCTGTAAAAAGTTCTTTTGTTGATCCACTAGTATAGTTTCTAAAGATATCACAATGATGTTCCATTTTTACAATAAGGTATATTGATCAGTGATGAAAGTGTAAAGGGATTGAGTTGGTAGTGCTTGATTTCATTTATTCTTTCAAAGGAGTTGTAGTGCCCTTTTTGGGGAGAGGAAAAAAGTAGTAAAAGAATGACTAAAATGATATGAATGATGTGTTGCAAATGAACTGGTAGAGTCAGTTTCAATTATTCAATGTCTCATAGGTACTAGCAAGAATTGCAAAGTATTTTTGTAAAGAGAACTCATTATAGGACTGACTTAAAATTATGATGATAAATTAAAAGATTTCTTAGGAAATGTGATGAATAAAGGAATTTAATCTAGTGAGATTTTTGTTTTGGAATGAAAATTCTCTGCAAACTCTTAGATTGAGGTATAATTTGAATGTATAATGAGGTTTTAGATTGAAAATCTTTGTAAGCATTTAACATCTTATATGGGTATTGATATTTTTGCCAATATCACCTAGTGCAATAATGAATAGATAATGGAGCATATATTATTCTGGATGTCTGTCTTGAGAAAATAGATGAAAAGAGTTTTGTTACTGAATTTTAGTTTTTTTATGTTCATCATTAAGTTCATCATTAAGCTGAAGTTCAAGGCTTATCCCTGCAATCATCAACTTACCTTGGTGGAACAGCCGTATAATCCCTGATACACGAGCTTGGATGTTTTGCTTCTGTTGTATGCCTGTTTTCCTAGGTGGACTGACCTAACTTTAAAGCACATCAGTTATAAAGGTAAATAGTGATTCACAGATTTTGCTAGAGCATCTAAAAAGCATTTCATTATAATTAACATATCTGTTAATTCTTGATTGAACTAATTTGGCAGTGTTAGGTTTACGGCTGGACTAATCTTAAAGGCCTTTTCCAGCCCAAATGATTTATGGCTCTCTTTTTTTCCCCAATTACAAAATCTTCTGCAATTGATTGTAATACTGAATTCTGCAACTGGAGATACACAGATGTTCTCTCTTAAGAACTATCCTAAGTTTCTATAGTAACCTTTTGAAAACTTTTTCCATTAAAGTGGATATTAGATGCAGATGAAAAGGCATCACTTTTGTCAGTCTTGTTATACTGTCTTGGAAAGATTTTAATGCTAGTAAAAGCAAAGGTGTGCAGCAGTTCCTTCCAATTGATCTAATTAAGAGGTGAAAGAACTGTTTTCTGACAGATTACGGAGTAAATCCCTTGTATATGTAGGGTGGAGGAGGGTAGACAAGGACAAGGTAAGATTTGGTTCCTCCAGCCAGTAAAAGGTACAATGACAGCACTGTTGGGGTACCAAGTAGCGTATGCTCAGGCTTCTTGTTCTTTCAGAGTATCCTTAGAAAGGGTTTCCTTGTTTAAGTACCCTTCTGAAATGTCATCATGGCAAGTTCCTCTGGGCCAATACACAAACAAATTGAACAGGGACCTCAAGGATTAAGAGGATTAGGATACTCCATTGAAGGCTACGGGTTGCCAATTTGCAGCTGGTAACAACAGAAGTTTATATTGTTGGGTCAGGCAGAATTGCAGCTTAGATTCTCACTAGATATTCATGAGAACAGAACAGCTTGATGTACTTGCTACAGGTAATGAAAGCATGGTGGTGTTATTGTCAAGCCAGTAAACTGTATGACAGAGAGTCCTAGATGTCTGCTTGAATGAACTGGGTGCCAGAATGGCTCTATTCTCTCTATAACATGAGGGTCGTATGCCTTGGGTTAAAATTTTGCTTTATTTGGCAGTAAAGTTGTAATAGCTGTATTCCATTATTTGTAAAGTCTAGTTGGATAACATTGCCTGGAACTGAAAATGTTTTCCCTAGTGTGCATTGATAGGAAATGATTTCTATCGAGAAGATTGTGTACACATGGGAAAATACCAGGGAGATTTTAAAGTTGAATATCATGTATTGTTAGCAGTGATCTTTGAAGTAGAACCTGCTGGCAGTATGTCCCTGGCTGTCAATGATTCAGTAAAAATAGACTGAAGTTTTCCCCTTTGTCTTTTTAATTTTAAACCTTTTATAGGTACTCAATAAATTATCTTAATTCCTAACTTAAGGATTATGACTTGATTTTTGAATAACCTGAAATGGCACTATGAGAGACAGTTTTGAAATGTTGACTTTGACTAGGAACTCTTCACACTGCGTGTTGACATTTGGTGTTGCATTTTTTTTTAATTGTTTCAAAAGCTATTTGTAGAATAAATTATCAATAGTAGTTAGGAATTTATCTGCAGATCTGCTACTGATTAATCCACGTTCCCCCTTGCACTGTTTTGCTTTTTTCTACTCATGGAAGTATTTGATAATTTTACTGCATCTGTCCGTAAGCACTGTAAAATATCAGAATAGTGATCTGCAAGAAGTGCTTTGTAGCACAAATGCATTTCCCATTTGAATATCAAATTCAGGTAACCTCAAAACCAAATAATTAAATAACTAAGTGAAATTTTGAAACTAATGCTGAAGTAGTGGAGTTTATTTTTGTATTCTGCAGACTGCGCCCTGCCATACATCTGGGGAATGGTTTGCCATTCCATTTCAGGCACATGTGTTTTACTGACAGCAGAGAACCTGTATGTCTTACTCTTGCTAACTGCAGTATACAGCCAAGAAAACTTGTCACAACAAGCCTATACGCAACCTTGCAAGTGTGATATGCCAGATGTATTTGTCCTTCCCAAAACAGCTTCCACAGCATTCATGCTTTGTTTTACAAATACATAGATAAAATTATTTAGATATGAAAATTAGTTATTTTATTATACATAATACAAAATATGGTGCTGCTAAACTGCAGGTGATTAATACCAATGCCATTAACTTAGAGCTGATTGATGACGTGGTGGGTCTGTGGAAGGCTGGGAACTCCAGCTCCTGATGAGTTTTGAAACTGAGCAGGAGTAGAGAGGTGGGAGCTGCTGCTTCACCTAAGTGCTTCTCTCATTGTACCCCAGATCAATTAGGTTGAAAGGCTGAATTTTCTCTGTATTAAGAACTCATCAAGAGCTTTGAAGCCCTTACCTTACACAAAAGTAAGATTCAGATGGAGTTTCAGTATTTTCTTCCTGGTATGAAAAACTGTCTCTTTTATTTTTTTTCACCTGTCTCCAAAACCATGTCCCTCCAGGCAGCTTCTGCTGTTGCTTGTCTGTGGTCTTTGACACATGCCATAGATTGCCATTTCTACATTGCATAATTAGAGGTGACTTGATGGCAAACATATTAGTAATTTTACCTATAACAGAAAAGTCAGCAAATTATAAGCATAAAAATTAATTTAGACAGGCATTAGATTCATTAAATTTTTTTGAATAATTGTTGCACTGTTTTTACATGGACCAGGTCTTTTTTTTCGTGTTTTGGGTCTTGATATGAAATGAGAATGTTATAGAAATATTTCTACTGGGAAGCTATAAAATCTGCAAAGAGTTAGAAGAGAACAGAGGTGGCATCACAAACTAAGCTTGATATGATCCTAATGTAAAAACAAGTATAACTAAAGTACACTAAAATAGGAAAAACTCCTTGTCCCTATTTTATAGAAGATCTTGAAATAGATAAGAAAGAGTTTGTTTTGTTTTTAAAAAAGCATGTTTCTTACAGTATCATGCAGATAAACACCTCCACTCCACTGTTAGCATCCAGCTAATCTGCCTACCCCAGAACTTGTTCACAGAATGCTGGCCTTTTCCCAGAAAAAGTCTATAGAATTGAGTTTTGAGGTATGCAGAGACCTAATAAAGAAGGATCCAAGTCATTATGAGAATACCACATCACAGAGCGTACTTTGTTCCTTTTTAAAATTTGCCTGTCACTTTGTAAAATTTACCAACTCAGCAGGTCTCCCGGTCAACAGAGTAAGTGAAGTTCTTTTGTGCCATGCATTTGCCTTGGTAATTATTCTGAAGCAAATTGGTACATTTGTAGTTCTAATTTTATACAGCTACTTAACTAATTACTGCTGTCAGTAGCAATTTTTATCTGGTAGTAATGTTCAGCTTAGCTGCATATTACAGCTCCAGTGACCATCTCGTAGCCAGCATATTTTATGGTTCGACTTAAAAAAGAAAATTGCAGGTACCTGTTTGAATAGTTGATTGAAATCCCGTAGGGTTTTTGTAGTTTGTTTTTGCTAAACATTTATAGTACTGGCCGGAGTAAAGTCATTGACCCGCTTGGGTACCAGCTGTTTAAGAAGCTGCCACGTTTGTAAAAGGCAGGAACATCAAGCAAGTGCTGCTTTTGCTCTTATTTAGAGACCCTCATTAAATTATCTAGAGACAATAATCAGATAGCTGCTGTTCAAGTTAATGGCACCTCTGAGCCCCTGTCAAGAGAGCTTTATTTAATGCGCAACAGACCTGGAGTGGTGCAGGTGCCATTTCAGGCCCTCATTTAATTTAAGCTGCTTTAGTTGGCATGGCAACTAGTTGAGACATCTGGGAGACATTATGCTCGGGATTGAGATTTAGGAGGATTTGTGGCGTAGCAAAACAAAAATCTTATCATAATAAAGTGCAGAGTAATGCTTTTGGATTTTTTTGTATATATTTTACATTAAAAATGAAATGTAAAGATTTGTTGCAGCCATAAGGTAAAAACCAAATTTTAAAAGGCTGGCCTAAATATTTAAGAGGGCGTTTGCAAAAGAAAAAGGAATATTAGAGGACAAGAAATTATAGTGCTGCAGGGCTAGGTTTTTTCTTTGAATTCTTTATGAATGCAATTTTAATTTGGGGGTTTTTTTGGTCAAAAAGTTAGCAATATTTAATTTATAAAATTATTTTTTATGTGGTGTGCTGATGGCAGATGAACAATTTGGCTGATGAGGATTTCGCTGGATAGGGTTTGCAGATCAACAGATGGAAGGAGAACATTGAATAGGTGGAGATGAAAGAAAATGTAAGTTTTCTCTAGATTGTTATAAGTGCAACTTGACCTGTGCCAATTAATTGGTGATAATGGTAAGAACAAGTAGAAGTTTCTGCTGAAGCTGACTTGCTTACTGTGTTGCTGAGAGATAAATATCTTAATTGAAGTCAGGGTTTGCTATTATATTTCAGACTTGATATGTAGCAGAGCTGGTTATAAAGAGCATTGAACCAACTGATGGGCTCCTACAGGATAATGGTGAGATTTAAAAACAAAACAAAACAAAACCCTCAACGTTGACCTAGTTAGCTTTGCTTTCAGAGGAGAGGTCAGGACGGCACACTTGTAAAAATACCACCACCAGGTCGGTGAGTTCATGAAGTTACCGGAGCTCGTGCATGGCAGATGCGGAGGACAAGTAGAACTGAAGCGTGTAACTTCCTTGCGCACGGAAAAACCCTGCTTCTTTCTGCAGAGCAGCAGGTAAACCTGTACGCGCTCCAGTGTTCAGAGGAGGGCAGCTGAGCTGCTGCTGCTGCTTCTTACAGCTGATCGGTTTGTATTTTTGGAAGGCTGAGAGCTGACTACTGCTTTACCTTGAACTGTGAATGAACTTGGTACACCAAGGGAGATATAGACTGGGACCCAGGAGGTGCAGTTTTTATTTCTAACTCTCTCCTTGATCTTTTGCATGACCTTGGCAGTGCGCGCCACCTCTCTGCCGCATTTTTGTCTGTTTTGAACATTGCAGGGCTTGGTGTGACTCGCAATGTTTAATGCCTAATGCAGGGGTCTCAGTGAGACATTTGAAAGCAGTTCAGTTAACATATGGCTACTGTGTTTTACCTTCTTCAGCCACAAACATAGTAATATCAGAGATTTTCATTTCAAATGTGACTGCTAAAGGTATCTTTTAAAGCAGTAATTTCTTAATTATCAAGCTTGTTTGTTGTAAAAGTTGAAAATTCTCAGTACTGCAAGTTCAATCCTTCTTGAAAGCTGAGGTGCTGTGGTTTTGCTTTAAACTCTGTTCTGAACCACAGCTCCAAAATCAAAACTTAACTTACCAGTGTTGTTAGTGAATGAAGCGGAGTACAGCAGAGACAGCTTCTTGGTACAGCAACTCGGTAGGCTCTTCATCGCTGGCCGCAGTAGAAGCTGTCTGTTGCTAACTGCCCTGTACAACTCACGGGCAGCATATGTCTGTAGTACCCCAAGTATTTATTGTAATGATTTTTGCATGTTTTTCATTACTTTAACGTATTCAGGAAATTGACGCTTTGATATTGATTTTGGGGGTTAAGATATGCTGCTTGTGTCTTCCATATTTCTTCATTTTTGAAACATTGTACTTTTAGTGCTTCCTGAATAAATAAAATACCCTTCTTAATCCACACCTTACCTTTGTATAAGCCACAGCGTATACAGCTCTTCGTATCTTCAAGTATTTGTGCAAATTATCAGTGAGCATGACTATTGCTGTGTTCTGCATGTCTATGAGTATGTGAAATAGTGGTTTCTTTTTTTTAAGTTTTTCCTCCAGACAGAAGTTTGGGTGGTTTTTTTTCTTCTCCTGTTATAACTCAGAAGAGGTTTTATGACTGGGATTTGTATGCATGTGTATATGATGCTTGAGAAGGTAAAATAGTAGGTACTGGGTAGGTTTAGAGAAGCATATGTATTTTTAAAAGTCTGTATTACTGATCGCGTAGCAACCTGTAAGGTACTTTTGATAACTGACTTTCACAGGCTTGCACTTGCCAGTTTTTGTGGTTAAACCATGTTGATGTATGTCCACTATGAAGATGCTACTTTAGTTGTTTTTAATTTGTGTCTTACCAATCTTAAGGAAAAATGTAAAGGTTTCAAGATGCCATTAATTATATTAAAACTTTATTTTATTTTCTGAGTCGTAATTTGACTTTGGAATAATTTTGTAACAACTACCTTAATGCAAACGCTACTTTATTGAGTAATCTGTTTTCTTTCACAACCCATTTTTTTATTTTCATTCTTGTAAGAGTCTGGAGACTTGACCTCTGAAGAAGCTTTGTTCTTTTTTACTTGATAGCTCTGACCTGTAAGAGCTCAAATTCCTAGGAGTTAGAGTAAATGTTTCAAGAAATTATGTGCTGGACTTTCTGCTTTTGCCTTAACTAATAAATTGAAGATATGTTGTCACTGAATTGATGCAGAGTGACCTCCATAAGATTATCGTCTCTCCTCAGCCACTCAGCTCGGATCATGTCAAAGTTTTTCTTTACCAGATTTTGAGAGGTAATTTTTCTTCTTTTAAATTTAATGAAAATTATGTAGTAGTAGTATTTTTTTTTCTGTTTCTTAATGTTTATTCTCAAGACATCCTCATCTTGAATAAGTTTCCCATGGAAACTTGTTCTTTTAATTTCATATTATGAATGAATAGCAAACATTAATTATTCTAGTTATAAGAATATGGCAGCCCTGCTGCCTTCCATCACAGTCATGGGTAAAGATGGCAAGACTTATGCTTCAGCTGCAAAAGCTTTTTCAATGGACTGTGAGAGTCTTAAGGGGGGCGGGGGGGTGTGTTTTAACAGTCCTCCAATGCTTTTTGAATCAAGGTACAGCCAAATTGGTACACCTAAACTGAGCCAAATTGGTCAATATGTGTAACTATACCCACTTCAGGTATTCTAGACAACAGTCTGGTTTAAATTTTTATGGAACAGTCCACTAAAGTTTGATTTTTAGCTAAAACAATTACCATAATAGTAATTTTAAACTTGATTATTTTTTTTTAGTCCATTTGGAAACTTTTATCCAAGAAATGAGATTATTGTGCTTGTCTTTTGAACATCTGATCAGTGTTAGTCCAGTTGCTTTTCCGTTGGCTTTATTTGAGTATTTTCACTGGAATAAGCTGAAAGTAAACAGTCGATTTTATCTGGTAGTAAATAAATAGTAGAATGTATTCATAAAGAGCAGAGCAAAGAAATATAAATTATATCCAGAATTAGTATGGGCTATTCCAGGTACCTGTTGTGCTAGAGAAAAGATTTATACTCCTAAAGGACAAAAGGCATTTGTGCCTCTGTGATTACTGAGTTTGATAACTGGGGGAACACTCAAAACTGTAATTTTTATCCAAATGGCAATGCAAAACTGTCAGTTAAAGTTTGTTCAAGAGTTATTTCAATTCTCATTCCATTTGCCCAGGCATTTGACCTAAGCGCTTAGTGTTCCCCAGTTTAATGCTATTCTTTATTTTTGCTCTATCTGACCCTACTTGAATTATGGCCATTTTTCCACTTTCCATGCTTTGTCTACTGTTGTAGTTCATGTGCATAAACAACTTCATGTTGGTATACTTTCTTCCACTGTGCTTTTTAGTGAGGTGCTTTCTGCATTACTTTCATTTTCTTAAAAAGATCAGAATTATAGCTTCAGGAACAGCAAAAGCACACAGGCAGCATAGGTTGTCTGTCTTTCCTAAATGTTAGAAACGTCCCCAATAGCTGTGACCAGATGTCCTAAGTTCATAAGCTCTAACTTTGAATTTTTGCACCAATAAAGTTAAGAAAAGGGCTTAGGCTTTACTGTAATTCAGGTCTGTATTCTCTTAGCCTTGTTTTACATTATCTGCTGCTGGCTTATGAGGTTTTAGTTTGAGAAAAGTGATAAAAAAAAAAATGCAAATTAGCTTGGGTTTAATCTGAGTTTGTTTCTGAAGTGCAGCTGTTACCTAGGAAATTGTTGAGTCAAATTTTAGTGCTGCAGAAGTTAAAATTGTTACTGGGAAACAGAGCATTAAGAGGTATATGTCAATATTCCAGTGTTGTGGTTAGCAGAGTATCCATGTCATAACCATGGAGATGATGTTTTGGGGTTTTTTTTGGTTTGTTCTTTTTTTCAAAAAAAAAGGCTATTTAAATTACTTGCTCTGTCTAGTTTGTATATTCCAAAAGTTTTATCCTTTCATTGAGTGACTGAGTGTATACTAGAGACTGGAAGTTAGAATCATATAAAAAATGAGCCAATGGCAAAGCCTCTGCTGATCAGGAGTTGCAAGACTTTCCAGGAAAATGTTGTCAGCCTTAAAAGTCTTTTAAAAGGAAAAAAGGTATTTATTTTAATTTCATTTAATATTTCAGGTCTGAAATATCTACATTCTGCTGGCATTTTACATCGAGACATTAAACCAGGGAACCTACTTGTGAACAGCAACTGTGTTCTTAAGGTGCTACTTAAATTTATTGAAAATGTACATATGTATATGCTGTTCATTATAAATCAATTGTTATTTTTTTTAAACAAAAACATTTAATATGAACACTTTTCCTGAAAGTCATTTTGAAAGAAAAAAATCCCTTGGGTTCTTTAAAAATTATAAATGAAACAAACATCTTCCTTTCCCCTTTTCTCCCTATCTCTCCCCAAATCTATTAAAGCAAGATAGGCATGACTCTTTTGTTTGACTTGCCTGGGATCTCTTGTGCCCTTAGCAGTTGAGAAAGGCAGACAGTTTCTTCAGGTATATCGCAATGTTAGTATTCAGTGTGCTAGACAAAGTAAAGACCATACCGAATGCCCAAGACTCTTCCATTAACTTCTTAGACATATGAAATTTTGGAGGGCTTAGGCGTGTTGTATAGCTATGCCAAATATAAAAAAATTAAGTTTTGTTTACCCTGATTTGCTAACCATTCTAATTGTGAAAGTTTTGGTCTGTTCTCTTAACCCTTCCGGTTCAAGAAATTTTAAAAAATTCTCAAAGCCAAAGTGAGTAGAAGACTGAATCTTTCTGTAACATTTTGAGGCATATCATGAACAAATGAAATCTGGTTTGGGATGAAATATTCTGTACTGAGAGGTTGGCAACATGTTTTGGTTTTTTTTTTTTAGTGCAAATTTTTTTTTTAATCTTTTAGGTTATAGATATTGTAATGCCAACTAAAAATGTACTGTGATTTCAAATAAAATTGTAGAAAGTTCAAATGGATGTGGAATAAAGTAGCATAATTTCTTCCTATTCCCCTTTCCCTTTGCTTATGCAGTTACAGCAGATTATCTGATTTATTTAAATGCTGGTTTGGAATTTCCTGCTTCATTACCAGAAGGTTACCTATTTGAAATGCATTAAGTGTTTTGGTTATTTTAATTTTTTTATTTACCTTCTCAATTTAGATTTGTGATTTTGGATTGGCCAGGGTGGAAGAATTAGATGAATCTCGTCACATGACTCAGGAAGTTGTCACTCAGTATTATCGAGCTCCAGAAATCCTGATGGGCAGCCGTCACTACAGCAATGCTATTGACATCTGGTCTGTAGGCTGTATCTTTGCAGAATTACTTGGGCGAAGAATATTGTTTCAGGCACAGAGTCCCATACAGCAGGTATAATTAAATTTCCCTTTAAAAATTTTTCTACTGCATAATTTCATGGAATCAGTTATACTGATGCATTTTGAACCTCAAACTTGCTTTTGTTTTGCTTGGTTTACACACGGGCAAAAAACCAAGCTACTTTGAAACACTGAAATGATAGCTTCCAGACAGTATTAAAAGTAGCAGTTATTAATGTTAGCTTTTGAAATGTGTATTTTTTTGTAATCCCCTGTAATCTGCTGCAGTACCAAAGCCTGCTGTAGCATTTTACTGAGATAAGGTAAAGGTGATATAACTGGGATCAAGCTTTTTGTAACAACTGATATGAGAAAGTAGTACGTTTTCTGTCAAGATATAACTGGAGATACAGTATTGGCACTCTAACTATTTAAACTGCCAATTAGTAGTATTGTTCAGACTGCTTCATTTTAGTAAAGGTCAAGTGTGTAAGAAGGTATTGAATACTTTTTTATGTTGTATAGCTGTGGCTAAGTATAAAAACATGACATGTACCAGAGTACTTCATCACCATTCCAACAGTAAGCAAGCTAATATAATATACATATATCTGTAATAATCTTGAAGTGCTATTTTTCCACTAGATAGAAAATTATGTCTGCAGCAAGATATTAGAGATGGATGCATTTATACTCCTAAAAGAAGGAACAAGATGTGCTGATATAAAATGTTTATCTTCAATGTTGCTAGTATTCATCTATAGATTAGAAACTGCATAGTATTGAAATTGTGACATTACATATATTGATTGACAAGAAGTAAAAACACATTCCAAACTTTTGTTAAAGGTGACATTCCAAAATCTATACTTTTCTTGTTTGTTTATGCAGATAGCATTTTCACGGGTTTGAGAGATATTCACATTAGCATGCTGTTTTCAACATTTGTATATTTAAACTGTTATTGTGTTGTGTATATTTATTTTTTTTAATGCAGTGTCCTGTTCAGTGGTACCTATCACGTCACTGCAGTAGTGCTCCCAAGCAGGGACTTGCTAGTTATTCTAGGCAGCACTGACACCTTGTATGATCACAAAAGGTAGACTTCCTCCCAAAATACACCTCTCTCTTACCCTTGCGAAGAGACAGCAGAGGAGAAAAGCAGTCATGTAATCAGAACTACTACTTAAATTGACCGCTATTCTGTTGCAGTCTCAAAAATATTTATGATCTCCTGTTTTCTAATCTTTGAACTTTTGCTGCACTGAAGATAATCATATATGTGATTTTAATAGCCTTGGCTATTGGCTTCTTGGCTTCTTGAAATTTAAAGTGCAAAGACATTCATCATCAAATAACTCTAGAATAGCATTATGGGGTGGCGTTTTTTTGGGTGGCGTTCAGTTTATTTGATTGAAAAGTTGCATAAAGTTACATACGAGTTCCTAGATCTTTTATGATCCCTGTGCAGTAGAATGGTTTAAGAAGTAATCGCCATATATATTTCAATTACGTTCAGAGCAACTCAGTGCTATTCAAAGGTGGATAGAGTCTATACAAGTGCCTTGGGCTAGTCAATGTCATGGTCTTTCCTTATATCTGTGCCGTACCCCTTAGTGTGGACTGCATACCAACAGTGGTTATCCCATGCACCCAGGGGAGTGAGCCAGGACAGCAAAAACTTTCTTATGTCACGATAGCCATCATCAGGCTAAAGTTTTCCTGGTAGAAAAACCAGGGAAGAGATCATTTTAAAACTGACTGTACTGGAATTTTTAACTCAAATCCATGATGAAGAAAGTGAATAAAGCTTTAGATTATAAACCAGACTGGAACTGGTGATTTTGGTATTTTAAACTTTGGAAAGTATCATGGTGAAAGTGATGAATATATCTAAGTTGCTTACTCGAGTTATAATAGCTAACTTTTGCTAAGGATTTTGTGGGATTTCTTACAAAGGTAAGAAATGAGATAATCTATACTGAGACTTAGATAATCAGAAACACTTTAAAATATAGTATTTCCTAACACCTCCTATTTTTGCTTTTTACTGATACTATTTAGCATAGTTAGCATTTTTGTATGATACAATCTTTCTATGTTTGTTTAAAAATGCATTTTTAAAGGTGCAAATATAAGTTATTTTTACCTATATGTTCAGAAACTTTTAAGACATTTAATTTTATCTTTTAATGCATCTGTGGTACAGGAAGGGTAATCTCTGACTTTCTGACTATCTGTGGGAGCAAATGCCTTTCTCTGCTTGCTTTAAAGACTAGTCTGCACACTGTTTTGTCAAAGGCAGGTGATAGAGTGCTAAGTTTTAACCACCTTCCTAGGTTAGCCAGTTCCTCCAGTCTGATTTTGCTGATTATTACACAATCCTCCTTAAAGATAACTGGTCGCATGCCTGAGACAGTAAGCAGAATCCATTCGGAAGGATCAGACTGTCAGGGAGAAAGGAGAACCGGGCAGATACTGCCAGCCGAGCATAGCCATTTCCCATTAGCTGTAGCACGTATGTGAAGTTGCATCTCTGGCATGTTGTGCCGCCAGCCTTTGACATGACAGCACGCGTGTGCACAGGCAGGGAGGAGAGGCTTGCTGTTTCACACATCAGCCTACCAAGGGTGTGCTTGTTGCTGGGTACCGCTTTTGTATGTCTGACTTCAGCAATGTTTACTTGAGCAATTAGTGCATACCAGCAGGGGGGGATTTGAAGAGCGAGGTGGTCGGTGCTGAGGACCTGACACCCCCGTTTTCCACAATTCAGAGTGGAGATGTGCTTTGGAGTGGGCTGGTCTGGTTGCGCAGGCTGGATGCCCACTGTCAGCTGAAGTACATTTAGATGTTCTCATGAATGCATCCCCCAGTTAGCCTTATCTAAAAGTGCCTGTGCTCCGGGACGCTCGGTGCAAACAGCAAGCAGCAGATGAGAAGTTAGCTTTGAAAGTGCATTTCTCCTTCTGACCTAAAATAATAATAATTACAATGTAATAATGTAGATTCACTGTATATACCTGAAAGACTTGCAATTCATGCAAATGAGGTCAGTTGAATTCAAATTAATGTTTTGTAACATTTTTTCTATTTTTGCGCTAAAATTTCAAAATATATTTTGTAATACTAGAGAAAAATATGTTTAGTGACTGATGACATGCATCTAGATAAATGAAATCAAACCTCTTAACAAAACTCTACTGTGAGTGTATTGGAAATGTATGGGCTAAGACAAGACAATTTGTATCTTGAGAGATGTTAAACATGAACTTCCAGGAGATCTTTATGAAAAATGTTTTCAGTGTTCTTTCTTGTAACCATTAGAATAAAGTGTGTTTATTTATATCCATATCTATATGTATAGATATAAACGTATATTAACATGTAATTGCTGAGTGCTTCAGGAGTAGTTGGCCGAAAAAGACAGGTGTTTATTCAGTCTACATTCCTTGATACGCTGGTATAATTTATCATATTACTTTTTCTATTTTGTAAACACATTGATCTTTTATTATATCAGCTCCATGTGTCTGTTTCTCAATTATCTATTTTCCACATCTAAAAACCTCAAGGTTTAGGATTTTTTTTCCTGCCTGGTTTTCCATCTCCCTGCAAACGTAGGTGCTTGCTGTCACTCCTCTATGAAGTTACGCTAGCCCTGGCCACAGGGTGCCAAGGCAAACGGGAGGACACATGTTCGGTACCAATTTACGACCTTGCGTGTACCTCGAGGCGCTGGGCAGACTAGTGCTTCTGCTGGAGAGGGGGGAAAGATGGAGAGAACACACCAATTGAAGAGTTACACAGTTCGGTGTGTAAACAGCAATCACATTTCACAAATGTTATACCAACAGTCAGTGGGTGATTTTCATGCATACAAGGCCTGTATAATGATGATAATGGGTTTATTCTCAGAGGAGAGCTCTGCGGTTGCTCGTTAGCGCGGGTGGATGGTGGTCACAAGGGAACACTTGGAACCAGGGTGCTGATCTCACCACTGACAAGACTTTTTTTTTATTTTGCTTGACTTATACAGAGGGGTTTTTTGTTTGTTTTCATTCACTAAAGGAGTATATGCACACACTTTTGTAGAGGTAAGGTGAAAGCTTGTCTGTTGCTTTCCAAAAAGAAAAAGGTGAATGAAATGTCATTTCGTTTAAAGTTGAGACCAGTTTTAAACACGGCATCATCTTTGCTCTTTTTTAGGTAGCTTTTATTTTTCTTGTAACCAGCACCACTCCTTTGCCTTCCTCTGGTGCTAGACAGATTTTATTCTTTTTTTAATATAGCAAGTTTGCGCTGTAGTTCTGAGGGTTTTTTTTTTTCCATTTTCTATAGTTTTATTCCTGCTGATGGCAAAATATTTTGTGTAAAGTAGTAGTTGACCTGTTTTTTTGGAGTAATTTTGTGTGGTATATTGGTATGCAATGCTGACATTCAATTGAGGATATTTGGGTTTTAGAATTAGTAACGCACCATTAAGAGTACTTGATTTTCTTAATGATGTAAAATTGACTTTTAAATTGCAATAAAATATTTTATTAAACCTATAAACAAAAAAACCTCCCAAACTTGAAAATCAGCTTGTGTTAGGGCTTTTTCAGTGCAATTACAAATGTTTGTATTTGCTATCTACTAAATGTATATGTTAATATTTGTAATTTACTATCCATAAAATAGTGGTATTGAACTGATTCATATCTTAAATGTAATTTACGTTAGCTTAAGAATCTGCTGTCGTGGTGAAATGTATTAATATATGTCTAAAACCTCAAATTTGTATTTTCTATACCTACAGTTGGATTTGATTACAGACCTGTTGGGAACACCGTCGCTGGAAGCAATGAGGACGGCTTGTGAAGGCGCCAAGGCACATATACTCAGGGGTCCTCATAAACAGGTATAGCTGGAGATTGCTGGCCTTTTTTTACGCTTGGTCAAGACAATCCTTCAGTTGGCCCCCATAAGTTAGGATTTCCTCTGTTCAGGATACTACTGCTGTATCATTGCAGTGTTTCACGTCTTGATTAAATTCTCATGGCATGTTTGTTCATAAATACTTTGTTTGGATATTTAATCTCAGAGTTGTCTCCACCTGAAAACAGGGTTAAGTTTAGCAAAGGTGGTTGTGGTGTTGCAGTGGCATGGGTTAATGGTGCAGTTATTCAAACTACTGTTGAGACAAGGTGGTTTTTCACTAGTAAAGTGCATTTCTGGCCTCTCATGTATGTATTGTTTGTCTTGTTGACACAGGTGAAAGTCTCATTTTTTGAAGCGACAGTTTTTGATAGCTATTTTGAAGGAAGATGTTAAATTTAAGTGATAATATTGGCAAGAAACATAAATTAAAATTGACAGTATAGTTCAGAAAGCCCTGGAGGGACTCCTGTACTGACAGGATCGAGAGTGTTAGGAAGTGGAAATCACCCGTTATCCAGATCCGTAAACAGAACAGTCCAGCAGCTCATCACCAAAGGGTCCCCTCACACATCTGTGCAGTGACCCGAGCTGTTTGTGAAAGGTTTAACAAGATATTGAAAACTGAGATACAACATTCAACATAACTGAAGTAAAGTTAATTTAAAAAAAAAAAACCACACAAACAAACCAGAGGAAAAAAGGTCGGATGATGTCATTATGCTGACTGGACAATAAAAAGGGCAAATGAAAGTTACTGTTAATAGATACAAAGAAATGCTTATGCAGGAATCCATAGTGCAGTAATAAAGCAGTATGTCCATCCAATGTAGCCATTTTTATGATTGTTAGATAGTAAAAATTAACAAAATTAATAACCTGTACATGTTAATACATCAGATCTTTCCAGTAGTTAAGTTTGCATCTTTATTTTCTGCATGTTGAAGTAATTTCTCAAATGTCTACTCACCATAATAGTAGTTACCATAGAAATGAGCACTGAATATATATTCTGCTGTATTATTAACATGTGGGAGTTCTGCCTCCTTGGCACTTTTGATTCACTACATCAGGTTGTCTCTATTCCATTTTATGACAGTATTTTTTTTTCTTTTAACATTAATAATAGGAGGATTTCCTTAAGACTTTCTCTACCAGCTTTAAAACAAATCAAGTCTATTTTTTTGCTATCACGTGCTAGAAGAGTTGTAACTTTTAAGCATGTAGTCCTGCACTTCCAATTTTTAAGATGTTTTTAAAAAAAAAAAAAGTTCAATAGTGATTGAAGCTGGGAGAAATACATCACTGTACTTTATATATAAAAATATGTAACAGTATACAAATACATCCAGATACTTTATAGAATACATTGGTTTTAAATTCTGTTAATTTGATAATCACGTGACATTTCCAAAGTGCAGTAGTTGTGCTCTTAGTAGTAGTAAGCAAGAACTCTGAAATTTATTTGTTAGCCTTGTTCAGTTTGTTAAACCAGGATGTTTTATCAAGAACTGAGATAGGTACAAGAATGTCTTCTGATTTTCTAATCCCAGTTCTAAGGCTATTCTTGTACAAGCCTCTGAAACTGTGTCTCTTGACCCACTGAATGATGGGAATACTGAAAAGCAAGTGAGGTGAAATGCTATCAAATGTTTCCAATACAGATTTAATGTCCTATAGCCACCAAGTCATAGGAAATAAACTATAAGCAGTTAGTTTTGTGTCTGTTGAGGAAAACAACATTCATTTTTCATGGAGTGCCACAGAAGCTGAACAGTCTCTGGAGCTGGCGTGCTCATTTGCAACTTGGAAATAGGGGGTTACAGTGCATCTAGTTCATTTCTTTAATGATATTTCTCTGTTTTCAGCTTCAAGCACACTTCATGTCTGAATGCAAATTCATGGCTTTTCATCTTATAAAGTGGAGATTTTGCTGGTTATAAATAGCTAAATGTTACCAGTTTCTTAATTAGATTAATAGGGAGAGAAAACCAAGTTAGAAACTGGTGATTACTTTGTCACACAAACTATTTTTAATCGATGTAGGTGAGCATAGTAGGAGTTAAGGGGTAAAGCGTTTTGCTGCTTTATGTAAAAATAGATCAATGCGTGAAGTTTCTGATTAAAAAAAAGACCACCCCACTGTGTGTTGGCATAATGAAAATTTACATACTATGTAGACTTCTTTGTCAGTTTTGTATTTAAAAATTTTACTTCAAACTAAAGTGAATTGATAAAGTCGCTTAACTGGCAGCCCTAGGAAGAGTGTCTCCTCCCATATTCCCAGTGTACAGTAAGGAGTGGTTTGGACCTCACTGGCAGCCATGTGCTGACCCACTTACAAAAGTAAAATGTGTTGGAGTTCCCTCCCTGTTGTGGTCCTTGCATTCTCGGTTGTGGAAGAGAGAGATCTAGTATGATGCACCTTACTTGTTAAAAGACCTGATCATTGACTCCATGATAATCGAATCTTACAGCAGTTCAGTTTTTAGCAATTTCTCCCGCCCTTGCTAGTACTCGTCAGGACTGTTTCAGATCTCTAGTTGTGGACCTGAGTGCAGTTTGCCGAGAAAATGCTGTCCTCAAAAGCCGTATATAACCAGATGATCCTGGAATAGTAACTGCAGACAAAGGGCATAAATGCAGCAAAAAAAAGTGCATCCTTCATTTGTATTGGATGCCACAGCTTCCATAAGTAAGGAATGTAATCATATCTTTCTGCCCCAGTATAGAGATGAAACCTAGTTAATCACACTGCTTGGATGACAGTGCTTTTTTCTGTAGATGGTACTTAATAATTAGAAAAATCATATGAAGTTACCAAATATTATAGCTTTATAGCTATATTATAGCTTTTGCGGTCTATAGACTGAACTTAAAAACTAAGGCCGAGAAGTGCTTAGTGCTGTGTTTGGTAGTTCAGGGATAACTTGGAATGATGTCACCGTGGAAGTGTAATTTTTATATATACTGACATTTACAGCAACTAAAAAACTTCTGTTCATTTGTTTTGCTAAACAGGTAGCAGCAACAGATGCCTGCCAAATATTAGCATTGCATACCAGTTAAAAGTCTGTGTAGAGTTAATGCAGTTCTGGAAATGCCACGGATCCATGCAAAGTTTGTCAGTGAATATTGTCCCATAAATATGCTAGCTAGCTTTCAATTGATTTGTTATATTTTAGGCAGAATGTTTTAGTCATTTTTGTCAGCCGGCTAGTATATTCTTCCCACATCTCAACAGTAATTAATCACACACGCTAGTGAAGCACTCTGTATAATTCTTCCTGCCCTAATGGCTCTTCCCAACACCTGCATTCACTAGCCAATATGAATGCTATTTGAATTTTCATGGGAAGAATGCAAAGGTGTGTGTGTGGCTGCATGCATATGTGATGGTTTATTTCCTTTTTAAATAAAATAAAAAAAAAAGAAATTTTAGGAGTGTTCTTTGCAGCAGTGCCTGGCCTAATATCTATGGGGTCCTTTTTTTCTTTGGTTGGGGATTTTGATTTCTTTTTTCAATAGGTTTGTGGTTTTGCTTTCTTCTAAGTGTGAAAATGGAGACTTCCTTTCCCCCATCTTACTCTTTTTTTTTTTTTTTCGTTTTTTCCCCTTCACTTGAGAGGAGTAACTGTTCACTTGTTTTACAACACTTTATTTACTTTGAAGACTAACTGTAGTGCAGTCTACTGCCGTTCCTTAAGCTAAATAGGAATAATGTCAATTAAGCAGGAAAATATTTTACTTGATTTTGGAAACTGACATTGTTGTGGCTTTAAAAAAAAAATATCTTTGAAGCTCATTCCAGAGTCTGGGATATAGCTAATGCTTTAAAATGAATGGCATATAACATTAGCATTATTGTTGATTTATTTTCTTCATTTTGGGCAACTTGCCCGAAGGCAGTACTTCTTCCCACGTGTTAGGAACCTGGGGATGGGGGTTGTCTTTGCATTTTGCTACCTTAGCGTTAACATTTAATTCCAGAGTCAAAGGAGACTTCCAGGCTAGAGAGTATGTGCAGTTAAAAGTTGTCAAATGTTTATATGTTGAGTAAAATCTTGTTTAAATATTACCTGCGTGTTGAGCCCGATGGCACTGCTGAGGCTGGAGAAGGAGTTGTCCGTACACCCACAGCCGTATAATCCCTGTGCTCCGCAGCACGTATTGCTGGGGGATTTGTGCTTGCCTCCTGATCCGTAGCTGTAAGGAAGGTTATGTGCTCATGTTCCCAGAAAGGGCTGGATGTCCCCAGTTTTTAAAATCTGTCTTTACTGGGGTATTTGTACCACAAGGTTTTTTCACTCTCAGCTAAAACTGGAAACTTTCAGAATGGGCAGGCTGTCATGCTTGTGAGTGTTTGTGAGCAAAACGAGGAAATACAGGAGGAAAATGATCTGCAGAGCTGGTTTTTGTGGGGCTAACCAGAGCAAGAATTGCGATGCTACCGCCAGCTTCGGGGTTGTTTCAGCTTTTTTTAACCATGCGGTTCATGCCCCGGGTACCGCGCTATAAAACGAGGGGGGGTTCACTGAGCCCCCCTTCCCCCTCCCCCAGACCTTCAAGCCTTGGTAGTTGGCCTATTTATCTCTATGTAAAATGCTGTATGCCTGAAGGTCATTTTAATTGTACTAGATGTCACTGTCAGTTAGATATGGATCGCCTGGGTAAGGAAAGCAAAATAATCCATAATTTGGCAGTGATTGAGATCAGAAAAATGAAATACTGGAAATGATGTGGTTAATCAAATCCCTGAGCAGCTACAGCTTAAAGCAGTGTCTATATAGAAAAGTAAATAAATAAAATATAGGTTTGTCCAGGGATTACCTCAGAACTAAGGAAAAAAAATAATCAATTAGTTCTCTATTACAATTGCTGAGTTTTGCAATAGTGATTATTGTCTTGTTGGAAAGCGTTGGGTAGTGCATGTCCTTTTTAACAAGAAGTTTGCCCTTAGTGGCTATAAAATAACGCTTGCTGTAACAGTGTTTTCTTGCTGATGGATCTGACAGGACAACTATCTGTACTTTTCTTTCTCCTGTTTGCCCTACAGCCATCCCTTCCTGTCCTATATACACTTTCCAGTCAGGCTACACATGAAGCAGTTCATCTCCTTTGCAGAATGTTGGTCTTTGATCCAGTAAGTATGATTTAAAATTATTCCTAATACTTCTTGTTTTAACAGTTTTTGTTGTCTGCTACTTAAATGAATATTTTAAGTAAAGGACTGCTTTAACTGATTTTCTTCTGCATTGTATTTCAGTACTTTTGGGTCTGTAAAAGACGTAAAAGTATAATCTTCTAATTGGTCAATTAATTTCCCCCTGGAATGGGGGTTTTGCATTTAAAATCTAGTGGTCTTTTGAAGAAAGCTACGACAAAGTGAGAAAGATGAGGGTGTTCATGAATCATGCTATCTTTTCCTAGCTAGGTGTAGGTAGCAGAACATCAGATACTTTGATGCAGTTCTAATTAGAGACACGTGGGTGTTCATGGTCTTGCAACACACAAAAAATTCATTCTGCATCCACACAGTCACATAACAGTATCTTTTTTCCTACTGAGCATCTGTTTTTCTAATAAAAATGTGCTGCTGTGGATTTTGGATTTTATCTCTTGGGCTTACTATACAAGATTGTCACTAGAAAATCTGATACCTGAAACGATGATCTTAATTATTTCATTCTTGCAGAAAAAACCCGAACATTTCAAATGAAAAATAGACAGATTGACTGAACTGCAAAGGAGGAAGCTTGTAACTGATAAACTATTCAGAAGGCAGTACCTTTTGATTTTAATTTTTTAACCTTAAGATTCCTTTACTGAACAAAAACATAGAACTGTTAAATCATAACTTCCACGTAAACAAACTTAATTTTTTTCCTTTCTAACTCCCTCAACACTTAGAATACTATTATTCCCAAATCACATTTAAATAAATGTGGTTTTATTATTTTAAAGAATCAGGACAATCCTTTACAACAGACACTTTTAATTTCATTTAAAAAATATCCTGGGAATTGGGACACCTGGGTTTTACCTCAAGCTTTGCCACTGCTTTTGCTCTGTAACTTTGAGCAAGTAACTTTTCTGTTTGTGTTTTGGTTTGTTTTTTTTTTTAATTCACCTGTAACAGTGGACTTCATTACACCTTGAATTTGCAGTACCACTTCTGTCTTCAATTCTTTAGAAACAGATAGTATTCTCCTTTTTGGACTGGATGGTGTTGGACACCTAGAAACTGAGTACTTTACGTGGGTTATGCACAAAAATAGTCTCAGTAATGTGGAAGTAGACTTTGTTATTGAAAGCATTGCTCTGACACCCTTCTTCCCTGCACTTCCTTCACCACTTGTTTTCTGAAACTTGGTGTGTAGAGTATTTCTCAGAACTCCCAATGCCATATCCTGAATTACTCTCTTACCAGTGATGCTTAAATTTGTGTTTTACTTTAAAGAGGTACTTAAGGACACATTAAAATGTTTTGCAGAGTATGGAGCTACAAAATGCTGTATTTGCTAACATTAAATTCTTTGGGTTTATTTTGATTTATTGTAGGAGTCATAATTTTAAGGTTATCTGGAGAAAGTAATTATTGAAAAACATATTCCTAAAAATCATATTAGCAGCATTTTCCATCATTAGCTACAGTACAGAAAGCTCAATGTCATCTTAGCAATGCTGCTTGTTTTTAAGTAAAATCTTCCCCCTAGTGGCAGTGTTTGCAGATCTGAAACACTTTCTGACATGAACTAATCCTTTAACATGATTAGGGGTTTATAAAACAATTTAGAATTAATTGACGAGTAAGTATTCTTTAGACTGTTTCAATACCTCTGAAAATATCCTAACTAATTTTTTTTAATTTTATTTTATTTAAATGAAATATTTCAGTCCAAAAGAATATCTGCTAAGGATGCCTTAGCTCACCCATATCTTGATGAAGGGCGGTTGCGATACCACACTTGTATGTGTAAATGTTGTTTTTCGACATCTACTGGAAGAGTTTATACTAGTGATTTTGAACCCGTCACTAATCCCAAATTTGATGACACTTTTGAAAAGAACCTCAGTTCTGTTCGGCAGGTGAAAGGTAAGTAGTAGTTAACCTTTGCCTCTGCATTTTATCTTCCTGCTCCATCCTTTCGTAGTATGTAGTTAGGATGTGCGATCTGGATGCATATGCTAACCCAGGTGGTTTTTTTCTTTTAGGTATTTTTCCATAGTAGATACAGGAAATAATTTCTTTTCACTAAAAGAACAGAATTGCTTGTAAATGTTCTGACATAACATAATATCACATGCATTAGTTGACATGCAGAAGTCTATCGGTTTCAAACCTTAATAGCATTCTTCTCTGATGTCAGTGTTCCCCACGCCACTCACTCTTTTGTTGAAGGATTGCACCGGGGGGAAAGGGAAATCACTATTGTTGCCTTTTCGGGGTGCGAGGTGTTATCTTGATAGCTGTCCTGCAGAAAGGGTCAGCATCATCAAGTAACTGAAGCTGAGTAGTCTCATAGTTCTTCTGCTTCATTTCCCCTAATCTATCACCGTCTGCTCGGGCTGAAATGTCCATGTCAAGTGCCTTTACAGCAGCTGCTCTTGTAAGCTCTGTTGCTGGTGCCCCTCTGCGGTTCTGGCAGTAATGCAGAGGGATGCGCTCTGGGTCGTGACACGCTGTCATGAGGAAAGTCAGTCCTGGTGCCTGGAAGAGGAAACTACTGCTGCACGTGGTTACTAAACGCCAGCAGTTGTTCTGTGGCACTGGAGGTTTGAAGTCTGATTCCGTCATAGCAAACAACCCGTAAAATAGACTTCGTTTCTTTTGAAAGCAGATCCAATCAGGAAAGCAGTCCTTTTATGAGAGCAATACAATATGAGAAATAGTAGTAGGGATTTAGGTTCTGTTTGGTGGCAGCTCGAATAACTCAAGAGGAGGAGAGGGAGAAGAAATGTGTTACCTCAATAGTTTCTAACAAACAATTCCGTCATTTGGGACAAAAATACCTCATGATGTTGCCATGATAACGTGACTTATTTCGGATATATCCTGAACTTCTAATTCAGAAGTTCACATTTATATAGTTCATGCAAGTTCATGTAACATTGTTTTCTTTTTATCCTGTTATTCTTTCCATTTCCCTCCTCTCTTTGGCCATCATTTTCCAGACCTGTACGTAGATCTGCTGTCTTCTCTGAAATCTGTTGTTCTAAACACTGACAGCAATGCAGATTCCAGCATGTTGCCTCTAACGTACCATCCGGGCGTATGGAGCTCCGTTCTGGCAACCATCACTGCTGCTTATAGGGAAGCAGCCCATTGCCAAATCTTCCAGCCTCTGTTTTTCGGCAGGGTGTGTGTGTGTGTGCACGCGCACACATGTGTATGAGAAAATGTTTTGTCTGGCAACTGTACATAGAGTTCCTCTTCCCTTATGAAAATTTAGGTTTTTGTTTTAATCATCTCAAGTGGCAGTTTTGTGCTTGGTGGTAGTAACCGAATTCATGAATCAAACCGGACTGAGTCATAGATAGAACTGAGAGTTGAGAATTCTTTGTTTTTCAAAAAGTTACACCCTAAAATTGGGATTTAATCTACAACTGGTTATCATCAGTTCAGTATTATAGCGGTGATTAGGGTTTTATTTTATATACATTGGTTTCAGTGTGCATGTAAGAGTTCTGTGTGAATTTACGCTATGAGGTATGGCATCAGGTTAGATGTAGGGAAGCTGGAGTTCTTTTATCCGTACTAAGATGTACTTTCAGGAAGGGCAGCTGTGTTTTCCTCCAGTCTGCAATGCATTTTATTGAAGCAAAAAGTGTTAATGGTATGATGTTCTTTATTTTTCTCCTATGTACAGAAATAATTCATCAGTTCATTTTGGAACAGCAGAAAGGAAACAGAGTGCCTCTCTGCATCAACCCTCAGTCTGCTGCTTTTAAGAGCTTTATTAGGTAACTGTATGTAATCACATCTGATATTAATTCACATTTATTAGTAGTACAGAATTCACAATCCAAAATGTTTTATGTTCTAGGTCTCTCAGAATAGGAAAGGCCCATAGATAACTTCTGCAAAAAAACCACTTGTATGGTTACATTTTGAAAATATTTTTATGAATTCTTCTAGAATTTAAGTAAAATGCGCAAAAGTTTCAAGTAATATTTTTGCATAAAAGCCCAGAAGTTGGACTAAAAATTAGAACTGAAAGGTCAACAAGGTGTATTTCAATTGTAGAATTGCACTGTAAAAACATTAAAAGGAATGACAGATGAAAAATCATTAAGAAAATAAGTAGATAAAGTATATGAAATATTTGTTGTCGGTGTTGTTGACTGTTGGTCTTGGGGTGTTTTGGTTTGGTTTTGCTGGGGTTTTATTGTTTTCCTTGAAATGTTTGCTTACTGGTCAAGCATTAACTTTCTTGTCTATTAGCTATTGCAAATGAACACTGATTTTCTGTATCACCTGCATTCTAGTTCCACAGTTGCTCAACCATCTGAGATGCCGCCATCTCCACTGGTTTGGGAATAAAGTGGAAGATAATATACTACTGAAGATGTAATGTAGCTTTCCACTGGAGTCTGGGATTTGCAATTCTGGAGGTTAATCATGCTTGTACTGTAATTTTACTAATGAAGTTTTAAATTAACAACCACTACTTGTACAATATGAATAATATTTAGAAATGTACTAGACTTTTAATCTTGTAAAGTGGTTGTGCTTTTAGAAGAAAATATTTTACCCAGAGTTGCACGTGTTTTATGAATTCTAGTGCAGCTGTGATGGCTCAGCTCAGAACAAACAGAATTGAACCAAATTCGGGGAGGTTTTTTTTTTTTTCCTTTTTTTTTTTTTTTTTTTTATTGAAGTGAGATTGTACAAAAAGATAGACATACATTTTGATATTGAGCCATTCCTGAAGATTTTGGGTTTTCTAAAACTAAGGAATACAGAAAACTTGACTGCGACCAATCATGAAGTCACATCGGATGACAATGACCACAGTAAGTGGGCATGTCACCTGATGATCAAATCCTATAAATAGCTTCTCACTAGAGCTGTGATGGTGATGTGTGCTGTTCTAAAATCAAATGTTGTGAGTAGAGAGAATGAGTTTGTGACTAGGAGAGACTAAACTTCTGTTTCCTTACCCAGTATAAATATATATATATATTTAATCTATTTTTATTAGAAGTTTTTCTGCTCTTTCTTACATAAAACCCCCCAGCATGCATCTTCTATGTGTGTAAATAATTCCATTTATGGGCTAATTTCAGAGATCCCTGACATCATTGCTGTATAGAGAGAAACTAGCTTGCACATTTTAGGTCTGTGAAATTTTGTGAGAACTTTTTCCTGCACTGGACAGTTGAGAGAAAAAAAAAAAAGAAAAGGAAAAAAAAAGCACATAGGGAATTATGTTAATTGTGTTTGTGTCTTTAGGCAAAGCTGTGGAAGTCTTGAAATGTCACAGTAGTAAATAACTTTTATTACTTTTTGGCTAATTCTTTTTCTGTTGGAACACTGAATTCTGTGCATATGTATATATGAACACAAATTGAAGGCCTCTACCTCCTGGAGTATACAACTTGGTTTGTTTACCTCCACATGATTTTTTTTTTTTTTAAGTTCAGTGTGGAGACTTGAAACTTGAATGTCCCTTCCAACTTTTATATTTAAAACAAGACTAGAAAATTGAAGACTGTTTTTCACCTGTACAAAGAAATACTAAAGGGTGGTCTTAAAATTTGAGCATTGGTCTGGAGAAAAACCGTGGTGTTTGTTATGGACAATTAACTGTTAAAGTTATTGTAAGTTATCTGTATTTAGCAGAGTATTTTCATCAAGAGTGATCTGAGCTGAAATTGGAGACTATTAGTAAGTTATGTTTGGAAGTTTTAACTTCAATGAAGTAATTATTTGCTGTGAAAGAGACAAACATTGAATAACTGAACAAAGATGGTGCAATATCTTTGTTTTTTATGAGGCTCCTGAGAATAAAACCAACTGAAGCATTTCAATTCACTTGAATGAGAAACGTGTTTAATTAAAAGAGCCCAAGAAGACACTGGTATGAAAGGTAAAATCTCAGAGGTTGGTCAGTTAATGTGGCACACTTGCTGGTCACTTTGTAAAATGTAGATTTGAAGTACAGTGGTGAAAACATTAAATGTGACATTTGAAAAAGAAGTGGTGTTATCTTTATTTCCTGTCTGATCTCCCACCTTTATTTAAGAATAAGTTGTTACAATCTTGATTAAGTACTGTCTAAAAGAATACAAGTAAAAAGACATTGTAACATCTTGTTTTGGGCATGGTTTTGATTTTTTACACACACGTGCATACACACACATATATACATATCTATATGCATATATGTGCACATATATATGACTTCTTAAAAAAAATATTCATTTAATCTTTAAGCTTGATCCTGAATAAAGGCAAAACTTGCTGATTAAATCAAAACAAGCAATTGACTTGCACTTTATTGGGAGGTTGAAAAACATACAGTTGAGGATGGACTTTACTTAATTTGCAAAGTTCATGTCATTTTTTCCAGAAGAAATGCTTTCGTTGCTTTCTGTAGTCCTAATGCAAAGAATCCAACATGTGGTGGTGTTGCAGAATATGGCTGAAAATGTTCATGTTTTATGGGTATGACCTTTTTAAAGATCAAACAAATTGAACTATACAGTTCAAGCCTCAGGACCTCACAAGAAATAAACTGATAACCCTTCTTAACATGTGCTCTCTTCCCAGGGCTGGCACAGATACTGTTTCTGACTCATGTGTATGCCTCTTCTTCAAACCTCTTCTTAAAAGTCTCCATACTATTATGAGCTAAATTTTAACATGTTTTAGAACTGGTGATGGTGGTGTCATTATTGCTTCCTGGTTGTCTATTGCTGAACTAGTTGCCATTGATTCACTGCCACTGTTACTTAGTCTGCTCATTAGATTCTCCTTCAGGGTAAGACTACAGTGCAAATCGGCAGTTTACTTGCTGGCTTTTCTCATTTTGACACACAGTTTATGAGCACGTAATGACACAACTGGCAAAGACCACTTTGTGCGTCAGTGTATTTTTTGGAGCTAATTGCTAGAGGTCCATGGGTTAATCTTGTTCATAAAAATAAAAAGAATAAAACGTCTTGCGGACATTTACCTTTCAGGGTGTCTTCATACGAATGTGGGCAGGGCACTGTGCAGACTTGAGTAGCTGAAACTGGCACAAATGTGTAACTAAAACTGTGTGTGCAAATATATATAAAAAACAATTATGGTAATGTTTTCTGTAGCCTCAACTGCATTTTACATGTTTAATGCAAATCAACTACAATGAAAGTGAGACTTCTTTAGAGCTGTCTTTGACAAAGATAGTTCCATTTCTAAAGTGAATGCACACGTGTATACACTCAGAGTGATCTAAACGTGAGGTCATCAAGAGAGCTGCTTCTTTCTTTCCCAATGAGGTTAAAATCTGGCTTGCAGTTTTCAGAGTTGCATTTTAATCAGTTCTAAGCTTTGTTGATATCAATGTCAAATGAATTACAGATTGTAATCATAAGTTTTAAGCTCTCTAAATATAGCTTCTGCATCTCCTTTTATTAATTGTGCCTTGAGAAGAGTACAGAAGTAGTGAGTGCAAAGAATAGCTTGAAAATTATTCACAAATTGTCAAAGGAACATCCAGATATTAGAAGGCCTAATCTCTCTGTGTGTACATCTTGAAGGTGATGCAAAGGAGCTAAACAAGCTCAGCTATGGAACAGTAAGTTGCTAAAATCCATTTCCTGATGTATGGTGAAATATCATTGACGGATTCAAACCAATTAATTTATGAAAGTTATCAAGTGCTTTTCTCCTTCAGCCGATTTATCAGTGGCGTGTTTGGGACTTTACTATTTGATCTGCTGGGAGTGCTTGAATGCTCACCAGACTGAACAGATGGTTTTAATATTTACTGGGTAGCAATTTTTCTAATCATCTTTTTTACCCTTTATTGGTTTTAGTAACGGAGTATCGTGAGATCCTTGAACTGTTTGTTCTTTGTAACTTTTTAAAATTCTTCTGTCAAGTATAACTTGATAGAAAATTCTGTTCGCTGTACTTCTGTAATCCTGCTCAGGTATGGTTACTTTAAAACTGTTTGTGACATTGATAAATGGGGGAAACTGGAATCCAAGCAGATAATTGCTATATAATCTGCGTGTACACCTTGGACAACTTCTGTGCTCAATAAAGGATGGAATCAGACCCACTGAATTATCTGATTATGCTGTAACTCACTGTGGTGGCTGTTTGAGCTCTGTAGGTCAAGCCGGACTCGTCAATGCAAGGCGCGTTGGTACGAGTCAAGAACCTGTTTTCTCCCCAGCTGGATCCTAGATGCAAAATTAAGAGGAAAAGACGTATTTAAATCTCCTCCCTTTGCAGTAGATAGTCCAGTCTGTCAGAAACGGTTGTACAAGAGGAAGTTAATTGTCTTTTTTCCTAGCTGGTGGACTGGGCCAAGACGTGGGGAGAAGTCAGTAAAAACGACAGAAAATCGCGGTGAGGGGGTGGAGCGCGGGCAGAACGCGTTTTTCAGTCCCTCGGCCCGAAAAGATTTGGGGCGGTGGTGCGGGGCTGCTTCGAACGGGGACCTTGCCCTCCCAGCCCCATCCTCCTCCTCCTCCCTCCCTTTTCAATGCCTTTCGCGGCCGGGGGGCGTGGCCGGGGGGCGGCGGGGGTGGCCCGGCGGCGGGGGGGGCCGGTCCTGTAGGGGGCGGGGAAGGGCGGCGACTGCGGGGGGGCGCCCGCGGCGGGGGGGCCGCGGGCGCCCC